AACATACTTTGGACATGTTGCAAGGAGGGACAGGTCCTTGGAGAGGGACATCATGCTTGGTAGGGTGGAGGGACAGTGCAGGAGGTGAAGACCCTGTATGAGGTGGATTGATTCACGGCCTGAGGTAATCAGGATGGGTGAGTCGGAGATGGTACAATTGGCACAGGACAGAGCAGAGTTTAGGGATGTTGTACATAGGGTCGCTATGAGTTGCAAAAGACTCGATGGCACATAACAACAACAACTGCTAAAGAACCAAAGTTCAGAGAGGGTGGAGTGTCTTCTCAAGGTCACACAGCTAGTAACCAGACTGTTTCCTGTTTACCACTAGCCTGCGTTACACTGGCATTTCTAGTCCTTTTGGATAATTTCAGATTGAATTTCTTTTTAAACATACCAGAAAATATATTCTGAGGAGGTTGTTGTAGAAAATTCGGATGCCACAGTTAGAGTTGATAGTTGGGACAAGATTGAATTTCTTTTGAGTGATCTTTTAACGACAGGAGCATGGCATGACTCTGAGTCATCAGGGAATCGTGTTGAGAGGCGGAAAGAGCTCCGACTGCCCTGAGTTGACCATCCATCCCATTCTGCTGTGGTCACATCACCTGCTGTGCTCGTGCTAGTTCTGAACGGGAGCTGTGGTCCATTCACAGCCGTGCTGAAGTCTCATAGCGCCTCATGGGTAGACTTGGAACATGGATCCTCTTGTTCCTGGGACTCAGCTCCAGCTGATCTCACCCCAGAACCCCCCTCCTCCCCCCGCCCCAGGGCAGAATCCTGTGATTTGATTGGCTCTATGAATTTGAGTTTCCGTACATTGGAAATAGTTATTATTTTAGCATGAAATCAATAATGGTGGATAGCGTATCTTGGTAACAGTGGAACTGTGTTTAATTGCATACTTTATATCATCCCATTTAAACCTAGCCACCATCCTGCAAAGTTAGGTGTTAGCTTCCCTTCTTTACAGATGAGAAAACGGAAGCCGAGAAATCGAGAGACTTACCCAAGGTCATGTAGCTAGTTAGTGGTAGAGCGACTACTTGATGTGCCTTAGGCAGATCCCTTGTTACACCCACTGTGATACCTGGCTAGGGCTGCTTAGTAATTCTCAGGGATCAGCTGTCCATCCCTGGCCTCTTAGAAGAAGAAACCCATTTATTATTACCTGACGTCCTGTAAAATCTGTCGGTAGTAGGACCACCCAAGCTAGCTCAGTGTTTTTCAGTGCCCTTGTGAAATGCTGTACTTTTCTCTTGTTGTTATTGATGTATTTGTTCAAATTCCTTTTGAGAATGCACATTTGTTTTGAAACCAAACTTGTCTTTCTTGCCTACATTTCAGTCAGAACTAAGACATGGTCCGTTTTACTATATGAAGCAGCCACTCACCACAGACCCTGTTGATGTTGTACCGCAGGATGGACGGAATGATTTCTACTGCTGGGTTTGTCACCGGGAAGGCCAAGTCCTTTGCTGTGAGCTCTGTCCCCGGGTTTATCACGCTAAGTGTCTGAGACTGACATCGGAACCAGAGGGGGACTGGTTTTGTCCTGAATGTGAGGTTAGTTCCTGAAAAATTGGTGCACCCTCCCGCTGCGCTGCTGCTGCTTTCTCTTCCTTCCTTCCTTCTTTGTAATTTTCCAAATAATCCCAATACACAAGGAAAGAGACCTTCCTTGCCCTCCACCTGCTGCACCCCAGGCACCACCCCCTTTCTGGACCACTTTCTGAGCAGGGGCCACGCCACTGCCGCTCTTGGCAAGACAGGCCAGTTGACTGTCATTTTTCAGATCCGCGTGGGGCTTTGGATGGCCTTGAGATCTGTGTCGACCTGCAGTCTCTGTGAGCCAAATATTCTAGAAGTCATCGTTAACCATCCACGTGCTCTGTCTGCCAAGAACGCTGCCACCTTCCCTCTTTGTGGATGTGTTTCCTGCAGTAGCAGGCTGATCTGAGTGGATGTTCCAGGCGGTGACCGTCTGATGGCTTCTTTGATGGAGGAAGTGCTTACCAAGTTGTCTGTTCACTAGATGCTGGAGAGGCTGCAGGAAATAAGAAAGGCACAGACCCATTCTTTCCAGGAGAAGAAAATGTCTATGAGTTACAAGATGAGTTCTCTTAGAGAAAATAATTCAAAGATGGGACTTGGGAAATACTAGAAGTGTAGGGTCACCTTTAAATGGTCAACTATAAATGGTGAGGTCAAAGCTGGCTTCACTCGGGTTTGAGGAAGATGTGAAGTCAGTGAGGTGTGAGCCAGGCAGAGTCACCCGCACACAGGAGCACGTCTGGGGACCACTTCTGTCTATTATGTAGCAAAGACTGAAGACCCGACATTAAACCAACCATTAGAGACTTCTGTGTTTCTGAGGGCGCGTCTGTTCTTGGCGACTTCCAGGTTACACTCTAATCTTTTTTGAGAAAGCTGAAAACAAGAAGGTTTCATCTCCAGAATCGTTTTACAAGACCCGTCACTGGGATTAAAAAATAAATAGAACTGCAATGAAGACGCTTTCTCTGTGAGCTGGAAGGCGGTCCCTGATACAGTGAGTGGGATAAATATATAGCAGAATATGCCGTTTGTTGTGTAAGAAAAGAAGAAATACTTGAAAAGATGTTACATGATGAACTAGTGTGACAGTGGTGTTGTGATGGTGTTCATAGACTCTCATTGTGTCTGAAAAGACATGGACCTTGCCCAGTGGTGTCCTTGGTGTTGAGAGTACAGCTCCACTCTGCTGTGTAGCATGTGGAAATGGAAGACTTCATCTGTTTCCTTCTTACATGACCAACCAACCCTTCTAAGTTACTTATTTCTTAAAAAAATCACAAACTTCAGTGTCTTATGCAAAAACGACATTGGTCATATTGGATATGTTTGTTGCATGTAACAGTTCCCGAAGAAAGATTGTTTAAAGGAGAATTTGTTGTTACTGCTTGTAGAAGGAAGCCAGTGACTGGGAGGAGTTAGCTCCGAGTCAAACAAGTCAAACATTGGCTCTCCTCCTCTTGTTGTCAGTATTGTTCAGGCAGTGTACCCTCTGGGGATGGATTAGCTGGTAGGCACTGATTTACTTGTGTTTACTTACCAGTCTGTTAACTTCATAGAAACTCATGTGCATTTGTTCACTGTAGATTAGCCAGGAAGCACAAGGCAACCGTTGTTTACTTTGCTTACGGCTGGGATTGTAAATGTAGAGACTTTGCTTCTGTAGGAAGGTGGTGTGAGATTGGGAGAGCCCGTGCCTGCTGATCCTAGAAGCTGCCCTGTGCTCACCCTGCTTGGTGAGTAGCTAACAGTGGTTAGGAGACAGTTGCTGTGGGTCAGGTGTCTGATCTGGCTAAGAAATTGGAGGAGATGTATCTCCTCACATCTCTTTATCTAGAGGAATGACTTGGTCCATCAGGCCCTCAGCCGAATTGCCTTTGGCTACGTTGGTCAAGACTGGAATACAAGTCGTCTTTGGGGGCTGTAGGAGGAAGGCTTGAAATTTGGCTTATCCGGCACTTTAAACCTGTGTGCATGGAACCAGACACCAGCACCACCAGCCAGTAGGAAGGGTAGGGGCGTCAGTGAGAGCTGAACAGCCAACCCAGTGTCTGCCGAGGATAGTTGGTTATCTGGGAACTAGCCACCCTCAGGGAAGCAGGTGTTGTTGGACTGTGACGCGGGGCTCTGAGTATCTTCCAGGCTGAATCGGTAATGCAGCCGTCTGGGAAGGCTCTGCTTGCTGAACCTGCGAGCGCCCTGCTCTTCTTCAGCATTGCCCTCCTCATTAACCAGGCAGCACGGGTGAACGAACATTCCTTCTGGAAGCCTCCGACATACTAGGAATTTGGATCCAGATTACCTGGAGCAACCTTTCCTCAGCATGCTTACGCAGATGGCTGAAGAACCTTGCCTGCCGTCATCAGAAGTTACTCTCTTGGTTGTTGCTGCGGCTCCACGAGAAATGGGAGTCTCTGGGATTAGCATGACCAGGATGTCATGTCATAGCCTCTGATTCCAGACAGTTCAGGTTGCTCCTTCAATAGGCATTTCTCTTATGGGATGACATTTACCGCACATGGAGAGAAACAGCTAAAGGTCTCCAGTCCAGTGTTCCAAAATATTCTGAACAGCTTCACATAAAACGATGACAGAGGATGAAGTTGTCTTTATTATTGGGCCACACCCTCCTTTGAATGCTCTGTCCATGGGAACTGGCCCTTTCATCATTGGCTCCACTAACTGAATGAATGCCTTGTCAGTTTTCCCGAAAGACAGCTCAGAAGCTTAAGGCGGATCAAGATAAGAGGTTGATAAGAATTCATTCAGTACAGCCATCCCATCCAAACCTTCCCTGGATGTTTCTGTCAACTCCCATTCTTGAAAAGCAAGCCGGTAATGAGGATTTTTCCCCCCTTCTTTTGTGGGTCTATGCTTACCCTCAATATTCTCAGCTCGAGCGCTGAAAACACTTCCTAATAAGGTAATAAACGGATTGATGTGCCTTTTAATTTTCACCCACTGATTCAATACACTTCGGCCAAGTAGATTGGAGTTCTTGCCAAATGAAACAATTAATCTCACTTAGATGGGAGTTGGTTGGTGTTTTGTTTTTTTTTCCTTTTCTTTCTCTATGCGAGTTTCTGGGGGGGTGGGAATCAGAGTGAAAGGGAAAGAAGGCACATGGCTAGCACGTTCACAGTGTTGGTTCGTGGGTTTGTTTGCTAACTGGCCATTTGTGTCGTTTTGACCTGTAGAAGATCACCGTGGCGGAATGCATCGAGACTCAGAGCAAAGCCATGACAATGCTCACCATCGAGCAGTTGTCTTACCTGCTCAAGTTTGCCATTCAGAAAATGAAACAGCCCGGGGTAAGAAGAACTCGCCGCTTGGTACAGGCGGGAACGGGGACAGTGTCTTCTCTCTTATTCTGTTGACATCCTTGGGTTTAGTGTTTTCAGATATTTGCACCCATGCTTTTGGCCTCGTGTACCCCGTGTTCACATACTTGAAAATGACGCCCAAGGTGCTATGACATTCAGTTACATTTTCTTTCTTTCTTTTCCACTCCCAGCTAATTATTTGGGCTATTTTGGTTTGTATTTTTTTTTTTTGCTGTTGTTGTTGTTTTTAAAAGCGGAGCAGGCTGAGCCCCGCAGGGCTCAGATGACTTACACATTGGCCACCCGCTCAGAATCAGGAATGATAGATTAGAGTTGGTGGGGATTTTAAAAATTCCGCCGGCTGTGAAGGGGAACTTCACGGCCCGCTGGGTAAGAGGAAGGTTTACGTTCCTTCCCACGGGAAGCTGGTCGAATTCCATCACCAGGAAAGCAGAGCACGAACCTGGTCTCTTTCTAACCGTGGTGTGACGATAGATAGAACCTGTAACACAATCTCAAGCACTGCAATTCCCAGAGAGCGGGAGATTTTGCTTTATTCTTTAGGTTCTGAAACGAGACCCGATGTGCCACAGTTTTGCCCCTTAATATCCACACGTGAACAAGAGCTGCCATTCAGAAAAATGCCACTTTTATGCCACTTTCTGCTGGCCTGTTAGACACAATGTCACATTCTAGTCTTCATGATTTATCTATTAAATGTAACCATTTTCAGGAAGATGGCAGTAAACACTTTGTTTTTAAAAATACTTAAGACCACATGAGCACTATATTATGCTGTGTTTCCTAGTCGACTCTGAAAAGATTGAGGGTTAGATACCCTTTTCCATTTTGTACAAAGCCATTTTCATGTTTGTGAATTGTCAGAATTTCCTCAAGCTGAGTGAATATCCAGTGTGGTTGCATCTCAGGACTGTAGCAAATAATTCACTTTTGTTCTGAGACAGTGTTACGATGATGATGAAAAAAAAATATTCAGAGGCTGCCAATTGGTTGTAAGTTGAGGACGCCTAAGTGTGTAAGCTTCAGCTTGGTAAGCTGTTGTTTTGTTTTGTTTTTTTCGGTGAGTAATTTTTATGTCAAGTGACAGAGAATTACTTCCTGCTTTTCACAGCCTGTATTATATCTACTTAAGACTGTTTACAAGAGAAATGGATTCCTGTAGACCTGTCAACACTGTATAATTTGAGACCCAAAAAAGAATAATTGAAGAAGGCATTAAATTCGTGTTAATTCCTTGATGCAGGAAGTTGTTGCTTTTTGCCGAAGCATCTTTTTTAACTTAACAGTGGCCAAACTTTCACTCTGGATACAAGACAGCTCGAGTGACTCCAGATGGGCAGCTCACTCAGCTGCCTCGTTAGAGTGTGACTTGGTATTTAATTAAACCTCGCATGTTGAGAAATGAGCACCGTCTATTCACAGAGTGGGCCTTGCCTTCTGATCCAGTTTGAGTAGAGTTCAAGAAAGTGTTGAAAAATTCTGAAGAAGCAAGGTGAAAACTTTTTGCACTCTCTGTGTTTGAAAAGTAAAGAGCCCTGGTGACGTCGTGTGGTTGTGTTTTGCTGCTAACGGGAAGGACTGCAGTCTGAAGGCGCCAGCTGCTCTTATGGGGAGAAAAAGGGGCCACCTCCTCTCTTAAAGATTTACAGCCTTGGAAACCAGAGGAGAGTTAGCCGCTCCTATGACTCGGATGTGCTGGGTTTGGTTTTCTTTATTTAGAAAGTAATTTGGTTTCTCAAAGGAAGAGATAGTCTGACTGTCTGCATTTTTTTGCTATGTAAAATATCTTTCCAGTCTTTAGAAGAACCCCAGTTCCGACTCACTGTGGCTGTGTAGAACAGAATACAAGTGTCCGACAGGATTTCCAAAGCTATTATTATTATTTTCCCCCCACCCGCTGCCAAAGTTACTAGTATTATTTTTTTAATTTTAAATTTTGTTTTATTATTATTTTTTGTTTGTACCATCGAATTGGATCTGACTGCTACAGGAAGAGACCGCCTCTTTCTCTAGCCGAGCACCTGGTGGATTTGCAGGCTGGGATTGCAGTCAAAGCTATTCTTTTTATGGAAGCTGAACTGCCATGTCTTGTTTCCACAGAGAGGTGGGTGGGTTCCAGCTGCTCAACCGTCAAGTGTGTGATCGCTGAGCCGTCACCAGCGCTCCTGAGCTGACACACAGTTCTGACTGTATCCACACCTCCCCCGCAGTTAGTGTTGACTTTGGCATCTACAGCATTACCCACAAGCTTGGCTCCAAGTTCAGGTTCAGAGTGGCTGAGAGTGAGTTACTCTTGTCATGTGAGAGGCCAGGATCAGCTTGTGTCAGGACCAGACCCGTGGTTTATCCATGAAAGGCAGAATTGGAAGGTGGACCAATTTTGAGCTACCCAAGAAGGCTCGTTGTTGCTGTTGTTGTTGTTTGTGGTGCCGTGGAGTTAATTCTTTACTCCTCTGGACCCCATGTGACTGAGAAGAAGGGCCCCACCGTAGGGTCTTCTGTCTTGGTCTTCTCCCACGAGAGTGGCTGGTGGCTGCATTCAGTTCGACCTTTTGGTTAGCTGCCGAGCAAGCACTTGACTGCTTTGGCCCCAGGTCACCTGGTGAAATGATTTAGAACTGTGTTGTCTAAAAAGTGGTATCCGTGTTTAAGAGTGTATTGGTTTGAAGAGCTTGGTCTTTCCCCCGCAATAACTCCCCCTGTGTGTGCATCTTTTCCTTTGTAGACAGATGCTTTCCAGAAGCCCGTTCCATTGGAACAGCATCCTGACTATGCAGAATACATCTTTCATCCCATGGACCTTTGTACACTGGAAAAGGTTGGCCTTCATCTGAGAGCATGCACATGGTAGCTCAGAGACGCAGAGAGGACCCAGGATCCTACCTCACTTACTGTGTCCCCCTCTCAAGCGAGGTGCTTTCTCCGCATTTCCCCTGCTCTGTTTATATCCGGATGGAAGAACTTTTGAGCCTCTTGGTCTCTTGGCCTTCTTCTCTGTAACCTTGTGGCCAGAATTGCAGCGGAGTGTTGAAGTCCAGTGGTTAACATCAAATACTACTTCTGCAAGTGATCTCAGCTTTTTTACCTGACAGAGTAGCTTCTAAGAATTCTGACTTGATGAGAGCCCTCCCTCCTCTTTCTCTTGAGGTGATGAGAGCAGCCAGCAGGAAGGAAGAGGAGAAAATTAAGTGTCTGAGAAATCTTCAGATTAGCAATAAAGCTGTGGCTTCTTAGAATCTGCTCTGCCGATAAGGGTATTTCTTTCATGCCTGAGGTTTTTTTTTTCTTGTTAGCTTCTGCTAAAATTTCATGCTTGAATTTACATCTGTAATGCTTTAGATTGTGCACAACATCCAAAGGCTGATTTTTAAACTGTTAGCTCCAAAATAGAGGTAAGGAAAAAGCATCAAGGATGAGGAAACCTCACTTCATATTGTCTGCACTCAGGAACTTCACAAACAATCATTGTTTGGAAAATTGAACACATCCGCCTGGTATGGTAGAAAGAAGGGAGGCATTTAAAGGAGTGAGCTGTAATCCTTGCTTTATAACCATGTAGCTTTCAAACTCCGTCTAGGTTGCTTAACGCTCCATGTCTGAGGCTCCCCATCTGTAAAATGGGAATGATAATAATGACTTTATTATATCCCACAAGGTTATGGGAGACGGCACAAGTAATAATAAGTAACACAGAGATTTCCTGGTTTATTGGAGAAGCTCCTTGATAGATGATAGCTGCTGTGCCGGGCGAAAGTCAGGTTTTGTGTGATGAATTCCATAGAAGCATTTTTATAGGGTTATAGATCTCAAAGTAATAGTGTCTTGGGAAATGAGGGAAAGAACATTAATTAATTTGGCAAATGCCTGCTAAGAAAATTGTGTGGGGACGCAGGTGGTTTTGACTGTGGCTCGTATAGACTCTCCGGTGATTGTGCTTTCTCCACAGAATGCTAAAAAAAAGATGTATGGCTGCACAGAAGCCTTTCTGGCGGACGCCAAGTGGATTCTGCACAACTGCATCATCTATAACGGCGGTGAGTCTGGGGGAAGAAGACGCTGTGTTTTCTTCTCCCCACTGCCTTTCATTCTCGCATCAGGACCAGTCACTGAGACTACAATACCTGTGTAGAGAATGTTGGTGCATGTGAGTAGGGGCAGTGTCAACATGCATTTTAAGGAAGAGCTGATACACATATTGATTTGTACTCTTGTATTCTGCCGCTGCTTCCTATTATCATTGAGGAAAGCCACTGAAAAAGCGTTCTAAGGATGAGTGTTTAGCTTGTGTATGATAAGACCCACTCCCATCAAGGTGATTCCAAGTCCTGTTGACCCTGTGGGCAAGAGATGCCTCAGAGGATTTTCCAGGCTACAGATCTTTGTGGAAGCAGAAGGCCAACATCGTTCTTTCTCAGAGCAGCCCGTGAGTTTGAACTACTGACGTTTAGCTTCACAACCAGATCCCTTAACCACAGCGTCACCAGAATTACACTTACAGTCAGATGTACAGATGATGTCTGTGGATTTGCCAGGTATGAAGTCATCACCCTAATATGCTGGATAGAACATTCACATCAGCTGTTCCTTTCCTGCGTACCTCTTTTCGTGAAATCCATCAAAAGCAACGACTGACCGGTTAGTTCTATGTCACTGTAGAGTGGCTTTGCGCAGGCTGGAGTTTCCATAAATTGTGTCAGTGAAAGTGCACTGTTGTGCTTGGCTGGTTGTACTTGGTAGTGTGCTTGGGATTCCTCTACAATGTATGCATTAGAGATTCTATCCCATTGACTGCTGTGTCGCTTTTCTTTGAATACACCATAATTTATCTGTGGGTGGACTTCAGCGTTGTCTTCTGCTTCTGATGGTTCTGATTCGACAGCCCTGGGTGACTGATGGAGTGGCATCCACTTCCTAAACAACATGCCTCCGGAAACTCTATGAACTCTGATATATGTCGATAGTTGTAGAGGGGCTGCAGGCCTTTTGTTCGTAGGGTCGCTATGAGTCATGCTCGACTCGAAGGCAATCAACAACAGCAACAATAAACTATATTTCTTCTTGGATACCGTGTGCTTTCACATTTGCCCCCATTTTAAAAACTGCATTTTTTTAATTATTAGAATTGTTAGGGGAGAGTTTGTTACAGAGGATAAAAAGTCAGTTTGTTTTTGTGGGTTCAGAAGATTGAGCCTTCTAAATATAATGGATAGAGTAGAACAGGCCTCAAGTCTTTTGTTCATAGGTTTGCTCTGAGTTATACTCAGTGGCACTTAACAACAACAACAACAACTAGAATGGAGGAATTCTTTCGTTCTTAGCTCATGGCGTATTAGCTGGTCCTGTCTGTCGGCCTCTGACGGGGAGATGTTTAAGGGTCTTGTCCTACCCTGTTTCTCTGACCCCAGCTGCTCTCATATATTTCCTTCTGCTGAAATATTCCTCTCCTTTGTCTCTTGATAATGTCCCCGTGTCCTTCTCAGCCATCTGAGAAGCAACCCCCGTGTCCTCAGACCATGCACACTGTCTTTGCCCTGGGCTGTCACAGCCCTGGGCTTTTCCAAGGTGTCACACTTTATCATGCTTTCTTGATGGTATTTGTTTGAGTTTTTTATCAGGATGCAATCTCTGTAAAAGCGGACTCCTTGTCTTATTTCCTGCATATCCCGATACCCAGCGCAGATGAAGTTGAACTGTTAACCGAAAGTTCAGCAGTTCAAATACACCAGCTGCTCCCCAGAAGAAAGATAGACATTCTTCTCCTCTAAAGATTTACAGGCATGAAAACCTGATGGAGTCACTGTGAGTCAAAATTAACGTGACACCCATGGATTATTACTGATTAGATGAGTATACGGAGTAGCATGAGATCTAGTCAGAAGAATTACTCATTAGATCAGTGGTATTGTTTCCTGAGTAGATACAGGAGCCCGTTGGTTCCGTGGTGAGCACAGGACTCCTAACTTAAAGACTGTCAGTGGTTCGAACCTGACAGTGGCTCTGTCTGAGGAAGATGTGGCCGCCTCCCTCCATAAAGATTTGTTTTCTGGGCTTGGAAATCATACGGGGCATTTCTTCTCCAGCAGTGATGATTGATGGACCGATGTCTGCTTGAAGCTCCCCTTTTGCACTGTTAATTTGGTAGCAGAGCCAGGGACAGGGAGAGGTGAGAAAGGAGGGCAGTAGGCTGCAAGACAGGCCTTTATTCCTGTGGAGTGGCAGGTGAGTTCCACTCCCTCACTCACCTTCTAGTTTGCAGCCATGGTCTTAACCACTGCACTACTAGGACTCCTTTTGAACCTGTGTAAGGTCTATAAATAGACCTGTCATCATATAAGCCGAGTGAGTTAGGTTAACCTGGCTGCTGGCCTGGAGAGTGCTGGGCACTTTTGAGAACAGGGAACTCCCACCTGGCCTGGAGGGGACACCACTGGAGCCCTGGGACTTTGTGAGGAAGAGGCTACAGCTTCTTCTGAGTGTTCCAAGCAAGCTAGAAATACAGGATTTTTATTTTTGTCTTAAATGTGAAATCTTTTTGCCAACAAATTGACGGAATTTCTGAAAATACCACAGAGGTTAAACAAAACATCTTGTTCTCCTGGTTTTAGGTAAAAGTGAGGGATTTAGAGTTTGATCCAAAGCCAGAGCTTAAGCTGTGTGGTCTCATCAAACAGTAACTCTTTTCAGTCTTAACTTATTCATCAATTAAATGGGAGCATTAATTCTTGTCTCTTCATATGACTTTGTGAAGTGCTGACAAGAAAAATAAATTTTGAAACACCAGACTCACGAAACTATTTAATTTAATGTCTTCTTCCCTATGTCACCTTCTTAGTTATACTTGGGGACTCTGGGTAGATTAAGGCTCTGTTAGGTAATAAAAGTATTCCCCCCCCCCCATTAATCAGTGAGTGGCCTGCTGAATAATGATGGGAAAATCACAGATTGCTCCCTTTCAGAGAGGACAACATTGAGGCACCAAAGATTGATTTTCGTGGGAGAGATAACGTGGTTTGGACTGGCATTAAAAGCCAGCAGCCTCTGGCTTTTAGCCTTTAAAAGCTTAATCCTGTGGGCAAGGCAGGTTAAGAGGTTGTTGGTGGAAGTACAGCCCCTCGCCTGGTGTTACAGGGCTTCCATTGGCATTAATGTTATTTTCTTATTTCCTCAGGAAATCACAAATTGACGCAGATCGCGAAAGTAGTGATCAAAATATGTGAACACGAGGTATGTATTTGGCCCAGAACTCCACACCCAGAGTGGTGAGTTGAGGTCACTGAAGGTTGCATTTGAAGGATCTCTGTGTGGGTAGCTGTGCTGACTTGGGGCTCCATGGTATAGGCCCCTCGTTTATAAAGAAAGTGTTTGGCCAGGGCACTGAAGTTTGCAGGGAGCTAGAGGAGATGCAGACACAGAATGATACTTTTAATCTTCAGCCTGATGTCTTTGCCAGGCACTGCCCGTTGATATACTGGGGTTTCCTAATATCTCACTGCTGCCTTGTAATCTGTGGTATTTGAGCCAGGCCACTTTTATTAATCCTGGTGCAGAAAAGGTTTGGATTTGAGGGAGACACCTTAGCTGCTCCTCCGGTTCCTAGGAGTTTCTGTACCTGAGGGTCTGTGCTTCTGGAATATGACTCATGGCTTTGAGGTACAGACAGAATGAAGCTCTTAGACATGGCCTGGTGGTAAGAATCTGTGCTGCAATCTTGAAGGCACACAGTTCGAATCACCGGCTGCTCCACAGGAGAAGGATGGGCAGTCTCCTTGCCTGGAATGGGTCAGCGGTCTGACTCGATGGTACACAACAAGAGTACCTGAGCACTGCTGATGTTTTATGTTGGACAATTCTTTGTTGAGAGAGAGGAGCTTTTAGACAGTTTAGTAGCTTCTCTGGTGTCTTGTCCACTAGAGGCCACCATAGATCATCTCCCAACTGAGCCACCCTCCAAGCTGTGACAGCCTCCAGACGTTCCCTACGGTGGGCCAGGGTGCATCACTACCCTGGTAGCTAGATGCCACCATCATACACCTCCAAACCGAGCCATCCCGCAGCTGTGACAGCTCCAGACATTCCCCAGGGTGGGCTGGGGTGCATCACGGCCCTGGTAGAACCAACACTGGATGATAATGGATAAGTAACTGGAAGCTTTTCACCAAGAGAGAAACAATAGCAGATATATTTGTTTAAGAGCTGATTTAGGTTTCTCTCTGGGGTGTGAACAACTGTGTGGGGAAGGGTGGAAGCTAGGTGCCATGTTGAATGTCATTTATTACATTCGTGCCAAGGAAAAAGGATGGCAGCTTGGACGGGGTGGAAATTGGAACTGGTGAGAGTGGTTGGATTCATCTGCTCGCTGCTTCCCACTAGGAACTTTGCTTAGCGAATGTTATCCCTCCAAGTCCCTGAGCATTCACCGAGGGCCTCCAGCACGCGAGACCCATAGCATGACATGTTCTGGTATCTTTCTACTTTACAGATGAATGAAATTGAAGTGTGTCCGGAATGCTATCTAGCCGCTTGTCAAAAACGAGATAACTGGTTTTGTGAGCCTTGTGTAAGTTGAATTTCTTTTCCGCTTCTCCTTTTGTGAACCTTGTACCTTTGATGACTAGCCTGTGGTACCTTTTTTTGGCAAGGGAGCTCATGAGATCAAAGTTTGGGTAAAGTTTTGAAAGAATTCGTTTCTATATAAAATTATGGCAAAAGGAAGTCCTCCAGGTAGGACAAACCTCTTAGGATTTAAAAGTCCGTGTGTCAGAGACGGCACCGTGAATTCGAGGTCTTAGGAGACTAAGCAAACTACAGGATACTGAGTCAAGGGAACGTGACGAGAGATGAGATGAGATAGCACAGTGCAGACATTAAATGAGCATGTCGCCCGCAAATCCTGGTAGGCCTGTTTTTGAGAAGTTTGGAAATACTTGCGATGATTAATTCTATGATCCTTCTGGTTCCAGTTCTCCCCATAGATCTGCATTTTCCAAATGAGTGTTCTGCAGAGAGGAGTGTGCTTATTAGAGTAGGCTGCTTTGTGGTCGTAGGTGGGCAGAGAATCACTACACCGTTCACATCTTCCTGTCTTGGAGATGAAGATTAGAGTGTTAAAAGCTCTCAACAGGCCTTGATCCAGAACAGAGTCACTTGCGGAGGTGATGCTGTCTCGCAGTGGCTCCCTAAGTGACTGAGAACGGCCCTCCAAGGTGTTTTCAGTGGCTGGATTTGGAGAAGGAGATAGATCATCAGGGCTCTCTTCGAAGGCAGCTCTGGGTGGATGGGAGCCTCCAGCCCAAATGCTTACCATTTATTACCGCTCAGGAGACTCTTCATAAAGGATAAGAGTAGCCGATGCCAGCCCTTATTATACACCTGGCACAGTGCACACTGACTTAACAGAGGGTATCGAACTGTGTGTCTGTGTTGCACAGAAAGCTAGACTCTCTGGTCACCCAGGTAATACAAGCGAATTAAACCTGCCTCTTGCCAAGCCCATGTTTTGTTCCCCACGATCTCATTTGACTGACAGGCCCACACACCTTCCGGGGTACATCACTCTGAGAAATTGCTTTGGAAACTGTTGTCTTGCCACGCGGTCGGTGTCACATCTGCCTGCACCGTTAGCCCGCTTCATCTCCCTGCATTAGCATCACGTACTGGGCTTGATTTTGCTGTACCTTGCTGCCAGATACGTACAAACCCTAGATTTTGTTTTTCTCTTCCTAGAGCAATCCGCATCCTTTGGTCTGGGCAAAACTGAAGGGCTTTCCATTCTGGCCTGCAAAAGCTCTGAGGGATAAAGATGGGCAGGTCGATGCCCGTTTCTTTGGACAACACGACAGGTGGGAGTTGAACAGAGGCTCTGAACGGGCCGCTTGAATGGAAACCTTTGATCCTGTCATTGGCTGGGAGGAGGGGCGGAGGGCACCTTGTTATTTCCTCCTCTGTTGCGCTCCCTACCCATTAATCTTACAGTGTAGGGCTGCTTTCCTGTGCTGCGTTAACCTGATAAGCGTGGGCTTTGGTTTGCTGAGGCAGGTGAGAGAGTGACCTTGTTCCCGTGGCTCTGTTGACGAAAACGGCCTCCGGAGGGGGCCAGTGGATGTGTGCGCCGCTGCAGTGCTGTTTTGAATTTTCTTGAGTAAATTAAACCGCCACGCAAATCGCATTTCAAACTAATGCTTTCAGGGATCAGAAAGTATTTCCCCAGCTTGCCAGTAAATGAATCTGTTATCATTGTGCTGGGTACCCTCCTATTCCCTTTTCCCAGAAGCTGAAACGGGAAATTATAAGGGGATGCTGTTTTGACAGGCGCGAACCCTCCCTCCCAGCCTCCCCGCCCTCCCCCGTCGGCACTGGGCTCTGTGAGTGATTCCGTCTCGTAGCAGCTCCTGGTAGGAAGGAGCCCCCCTCCGTGCTCCAGAACAACAGGTAGACAGGGATGAGCAGCTGATGATCCCTTCCTGCTCCTTCAGCAAGTTGTATTGTGATTAAATGAGGCACGTGCCCTTCCAGGCAGCCTGAGGAGGGACCGGAGCATGTGGGGGAGAATCCTAGCAGACGCGTGCTAGAACCTCCGTGTCCCGACAAACAGTGGGGGTCAGTCATTTGAAGCAACACCAGAATTGGAAAAACGGCTCTTTTTTCGTGAAATTTTTGCTTGTTGTCTCGCAAATTAAAAGAACAAAAAAATTAAAACACAAATTCAGACCAAATGGCAAATTCATTTACTAGGCATCCCGGCCACCCATTGTCAGGGGTAAAGAGAGAGTAGTGCTTTAGGCAAGAAGTATTGGACTTTATTTGATCTTAACAATTTGGGTTGGAAATCTCTCAAATTCTGTTTATTCCTTCGTTCAAGGAAAAGTGTATCTGATAACTGCTGTTGACCAGGCTGTGTAGACGCTGGGTTTACAGGAGTGAGCCAGGCAGACACAGTCCCTGCCCCTCTCCACAGCTACGGCCTTGAGGAGAAAATGAATATTACAGATAAGTGGGCAGGTAGGAGAGGTCCTTCCAGGTGCCGCTGATGGTGGGTCAAGTGCGAGGATCAGCAAGGGTAGAGACTCGGGCCGGCAGTGGGGACAGTTAGGTCAAAGGGGATGCGGGGGTGGGGAGGAAGGACGAGAGGAGAGTGGCCAGGAGGGGTGAGCTGGGGCCAGATCACACACGCCGTGGTGGGGAGCCTGGTGTTGCTTCAGGAGCTGAAGAGTGCTAGGTTATATACGCCTTCTTACTTCTTCATTGTGTGTTGTTGTTATGTGCCGTTCAAGTCACCTGTGTCTCAGAGCGACCCTGTGCACAATAGCTGTGAACTCTGTCCTGTCCTGAGCCAATCTCGCTGTCTCTGACACAGCTGCCCCAGATGTCAGTTATCTGGAAGGTTTGGAGTTACTCTTCCTATCTAGTATATCAAGGGTGGCTTAGTGATCAGGAGTTGTGCAGTTAATCCCAACTCCTTTGCTAGCACCTGAGAACCTGGGAAGAAGGAGCTAATACACTAAATGTCAGGGTCATTGTCACAGTGTCAGTCATCAGCTGATGGTGCTGGACACTGGTTTCTGTGCATTTTAGGATTCCCTTGACCCCCAGCAGTGGCTACGCCCCTTCACTGGGGTGGTGGTGATGCTGGCTCCAGAGAATTAGTTATCCAAGGGCCTCACACCTGCCGGGTCTAGCCTGGACTTGAATCCACTCTCCTCATACACAGATTCTGGTGCAGACTGTTGCCCTGGCGCACTTTTGACTCCCATTCACCCCCATTCTGTCTGGCTCCAGATGTGGTTCTGCAGGTCTGAGCAGAGCAACTGCAGTCGGCATGGGAGAAGCTGGGAATTTCAGGCACACTGGGAAGAGTCAGACATGTTTTACTTTTAGTTCAAGGAGCCTGGAGGCACAAATGTTAAGACGTCTGACTGCTAACCTAGAGTTTGGCAATTTGAATCCTGAGAAGACCTGGCGTTGTGCTTCCATAAAAGTTACACCCTTTGATTCAGCTCTCTTCTGTCACATGGGCTTGCCACAGGTTAGAATTGACCTGATGGTGACACCTGAACAGCAACACTTGTACTTTGTCACAATCTGGTATCGCTAAGGATTGCACAGAATTAACCCCAGAATCATTCTCCTCTATGGACACACTTTCTTTCCCAAAGAACGTTTTCTTTAAAAATATGATGAATTAGAGACCATCTCTTAAAACTTGGGTACAGTTTCATAGTGGAGTGTCCTCGAGGCGGGGAGCATTGTATACCAATGAAGCAATTTTACTTTTCAAAGAGAAGAGTGAACTGAGGGGGAGGGGTAGGCAGGGAGAAAAATGCAACAGTGAATGAATGGAAATCCAGAATCTCTGTAAATGTTCATTAAAATTAGTAAAATTAAAAGAGAACCAAAAAAAACCCAACAACCCCAAAACCAAACTTGGGTACAATTTCAAAAAGGGATGGATACTATATGATGTCACATATTACAAATATCTAGTATAAGGAAGTGTATAGAGATCTGAGTTTATGAATTATTATCAGAACTGGGTTGGAGGGAGGCAGAGAAGAGGCCTTGCTGCTTAGGAGACCCTGAGCTTCCCTTAAGGGTTACTGAAAAATTTGAAAGACCTCATCGTGAGAATTAAACAAGAAAACTGATTTAATTGTATATGTGACAGTTGAAATGACAAATGCTTTGCTATGTACATATTATCACAGTTGAAAACAAAAGGGGGCAACAATTCTACATTAATTGTTTTCCCCTGACTCCTTTTGGGGGGGAAAAAAAAGAAAAGGAAGACACAGCCCCCAATCTGGGCTTGGGTTTTTGAAGGGACACCTTTGAAAGCAAGCAAATATTGTAACTGCCTTTACAATGCATGTGAATTTTCTACTTCACCACAGTTCATTTGCTCCTCTTGCTTGAGACTGCCTTGCGTTTATGGCCTGTGAAATCCAGGAAGACTCCTTGGGAAAACACATTTCCCCTGTCTTCGTTGTCTAAATTATCTAGTCCTGCTACAGCTGAGGTATCACAAGTGGATGGCTTTGACAAACTGAAATTTGTTCTCTCACAGTTTAGAAGTCTAAAAGATTGGGTTCAGGACCCGGAGCCCTAGGAAGGAGCTTTTTCTCTGTGTTATTTAGCTCTGGGGAAGTGAAATCTCTTTCATCCTCTGAGAATCCGTGTTTCTTAGAAATTTCCCATGTCTGGGCTTACACACGACCGTGATGTTGAGGATGATGCTGGATAGGACAGAGTTCAGATCTGTCAGTTGTTTGTTGTCAACTAGACGGCACCTAACAGCTGTCTCATTAGGTGCCGTCTAGTTGTCTCATTAGCACATAAAAAATTAACACAGTAACATAGACAGGTGAGGATTTACAACATGGTACGGCGGGGGCGGGGGGGATGTCCATGAGAACACTGAATGGAAGATGACTGCATCCCTGTATTGCATCCACATTATAGCGTGTAACTGCCAAACCATTGAGAATCATAACCATTCTTTTGGGGGAATATTGTTAAATCCATGATTGTCCCCCCAGAATTTGTAGCTTGTAGTTCCCAGCTGCAGACCTTGGATTGCACCTGAGATGATGTTTGTCCCAACAGTTCCTATGTCCACTTTGCTGGACCTGCACCAGTGGCACTTAGTGGCTCACAGCCACTGACTGAGCTGCCGCTGTTGTTGGGAGCCATCGAGTCAGGACCAGCTCACAGCTGATCTTCCAGTGGGTTTTCAGAGGCAGTAAGTCACATGGGAGGAGATTGCCCATCTTTCTTCCACCGAGCAGCTGGTGAATTCTAAGCACTCACCTTTGAATTGGCAGCACAGTTTCTCGTCACTAGGCCGCCTCCTTCAGAGAAACCCCTGCTGGCATTCCTTGGGTCACTGCAGCGTCTGATGAGACACGAAGGTGGGAGAATGGAAGTAGGAAGGTACATACCCTGATCTTGGAGAACTGAACCCCACCCCCGCACCTAATCAGATAGATGAAGCTTTTATCTTCTTGTTGACAGGGCTCGTGGTGACCCACGTGCAGTGGAAGGAACAGGCTGCAGTCTGTTCCTCTGCCATCAACGGTGTGTCTGTGTGTGGACCTGTAGTATTTTCACTGACTGAAACATTAGGTCTCTAGGCCTTGATTCCTGATCCCTTTCTGTCTGGAAGCGTCACTGAAATCTCTTGATTGTCCTAGTAACACGCAAACCTCCACTGGCATATGAGTGGTGGCTGCCCCAGCGGTGCGGTGGCTGGGGTTGAACCTGCATCTCCGGCATGAGAGGGGAGGATTCTGCTGCCGGTCCACCACCACCCCTATTTGGCATAAACATTTTTATGTGTTTATTGGACAATTAAAAAGGACTGGTTTTGGGTTTTTTTCTTATGAGGTATTCACATTCAAAACCAGGGATCACTTTGTAACCTTAGAATTTGTTTCTAGTTCCCTCCAGAATCCCAACAAGAGACACTGCTGCATGTCTCTTCAGTGTCGTAGTGACCCTCTGTTGTGTTTCTGAGGCTCCAAATCTTTACATAAAGGGACTGCCCACCTTCTCCTCCCCAGTTAGGCTAGTGGACTTGAACTGCCAACTTTCTGGTTAGAGCCCATCATGCAACACACTGTCCCACCAGGGCTCTAGACTAGTGAGAAGAGAGGCTCCTTATGTCTGTGTGCAGATGTGCATGGAGTAGCCTAGGCCAGGGTGACATTGCAGTGTGTTTACCTCTTAACTAACACAGAACTCAAGGGAACTGCTACTTCTTTGTTCTCAAATGAATTAAAATAACAAAGTCTGTTGAGCCTTTTTTTAAAGTTTCAGTTACATTTTATTGTTTATGTTTTGTTATTATAACAGAGTATGTCTGTTAAGTGGGTCATTTAGTAACTTTTCATATAAGGTCATTAAAAAATTGCTTAAGTATTTTTTTAAGAATCTTGGCAGAAATAGAAAGCCTAATTTGGTTTGCATGAAGAAAAAAAAAACAACAACCCAACAGTCTTGCAAATTACCAAAGTTGACTCAAACTCTCTCCCTCTTGTACTCCTAGGGCCTGGGTTCCAATAAATAATTGCTACCTCATGTCTAAAGAAATTCCTTTTTCTGTGAAAAAGACTAAAAGCATCTTCAACAGTGCAATGCAAGAGATGGAGGTTTACGTGGAGAACATTCGGAGGAAGTTTGGCGTGTTTAATTACTCCCCATTCCGGACGCCCTACACACCCAACAGTCAGTACCAAATGCTGCTCGATCCCGCCAACCCCAGCGCTGGCACCGCCAAGGTCGACAAGCAGGAGAAGGTCAAGCTCAACTTCGACATGACGGCGTCTCCCAAGATCCTGATGAGCAAGTCCTTGCTGAGCACGGGCACAGGCCGGAGGATTTCCTTGTCGGACATGCCTCGCTCCCCCATGAGCACCAACTCCTCCGTGCACACGGGCTCAGACGTGGAGCAGGACGCCGAGAAGAAGGCGACTTCGAGCCATTTCAGTGCCAGCGAGGAGTCTGTGGACTTCCTTGATAAGAGCACAGGTCAGCCCTGGGTGTGGGAGGTGCCGGAAGCCACCCGCTGGGGCTGGAGGGTTTCCATCGGGGTCAGACCTGTGAAGCCCAAGGGACAGTTGTCACAGCAGTCAGAGGTGCTTTTGGAGGGGCTTGGTAGGTTCCATTGGGGCAAATTTGAAAATGAGGAACAAGAAATAAGGAAACTGTTTCCCAGGGGCAAGCTGGAGGTGGTTCTTGGAAGTGGAATGAGAAGGCCAGCAGTCCTCCAGGCTCACCACACCAACTTTCCATTACAACTGGCTTTCCTTCCCCAAGAAGAATTTCTGCTTAAAAAACAAACCACTTGCAGGGCAGGGGCGAAAAAAAACACACAAAAAAACCACTTTTGCTATCAAAGTCATCCATTTATTTTAACACTCAAATACTAGAGGTAGAACAGGACCCCATCCCCCCAGAGCGTTTCCCCCTCTTTAAGGATGAGCCCACTTAGAGTTGGGTTTGGCCGAGTGGTTAAGGAGGACACTGGAGCACCATCTTGGTTTTGTCACGCTCAAGTTGTCTGTTTTTGAGCAAAGACTTAGTCACTTAGTGCCTTAGTTTCCTAACTTGTAATGTGAGAACAATAATCTGAACTACCTGTAAGAGAATACTTGAATCTCTACATAAAAAGAGATTAGAACAGTGCCCAGCATCCCAAGTGGATGGTGTTCTTACACTCCGTGCCTCAGTGAATTAACGTGGTGCATGCAAGGAACACTAAATATGTCTAAGAAAAGCACTGGTGACTTAAATGGGTTCTTTTCCGCCTCTTTTTTTACCCCACCTGAACATAATTGGTTGTATGTTAAGAATATAAGCATTTTCCCCCCTATAAAGAAGTAAAGTAACCCTATAGTTACAATGGTTAAAGCATTCATGTGAGAGCCAAAAGGTGATGAGTTCAGACCCACCAGCTGCTCTGTGAGAGAAAGATGGGGCTGATTGATTCCTCGGGAAACTTCAGGGTGGTTCTGCTCTGTCCTGTAGGGTCACTGTGAGTCAGGGTCCACTTGATGCCGGGGCGTGTAGTGGTGCAGTGGATAAGCACTTGGCTTCTGTCCAGAGGTCAGCAGTTTGAACCCACATCTGCTCCACAGGGGAGAAATGTGCAATCTCTTTCCATTAAGCTTCATAGGCTTGGAAACTGTGGGGCAATTCAGTTTGTCTTATAAGGTCGCTTTGAGTAGAATGGATCTGATGACAACAGGCTCTAAGAAAATAAGTGTTCTCTTGTTTTTAGTGCAGATACGGCCCTCACTGTTTGATTTTTGTTTGCCAATCATGGGAACAGAGAAATTTCCAACACTGAGTAAGGGCTGTTGGCGTTTGGTGGTGTTGAGTCAACCTCAACTCCTAGCAACCTCATGTACATCAGATTGAAAACTTATTACCAGCTCCTGCACCAGCGAGGATCCAAGTCTGTCCATCTCCCTGAGGGTTTCCTCTTTGAGGATCTTCCACCTTCCCAACCATAATGTCTACATCCAAGTGCTGGCCCCTCCTGGCTGTATTCCCAAAGCATACGAGACAAAGTCTCATAGTTTTATCTTATGATACATTCTGGCTAAGTTCCAGGACAGTTTTATTTGTTCATTCGTCAGTCTGTGCGTGCTGTCTTCAATCCTCTCACCAACTCACCAGTATCCCAATACAAAGGCCTCACTTCTTTGTGAGAGTGGCATGAGGTCATGGGGCAGCCAGCCTTGCACTGCTGTCTGGGGAGACATTGGGAGGGTCCTGAGACTGGGAAACTGGGGCCCACGTGTCCCCCACACAGGGACACGCTTGGTGTGTGGGAATGTGAACGCACCGCTTCAAATCTTAACGCTCTTTCAGAGAGATGTGAAAAGTTGTTCTTAGTTTTGTAGTTTTGAGAGCAGGAAGTGTGAGACCTGCTTTATCCTCTGTTTAAAAATCATGTGTGTGGAGTGAACATTGACCGAGAAAATTCATTTCCCATTCCGTCATTCATATGGATTTTGTTTTCTGAGATGAGTTACAGTCCTTCCATTGTCATGACATTTTTCGAGGGAATCTGGGTTTTTTTTAGCAAAATGCCCAGTTATTAAATATCGCCCCAGAACTTCAGAGTATTTTTTAGGTTAAAGCACAGGTGACGTGAGCCCTCTGGCATAAGGTTCTAGACAGTGTTAGTTCAGAGCGGCTGTTTGACCTTCAGCTCCTTCCTCCTCCTCTCCCTCCCTGCCTCCCTCACCTCCCCTCGGCTTCCCTTATTGACTCCTTTCCTCCCTCCCTCCTCCTTTTTTTCTTTTCTTATAGTTTAAGGTCAGGTATTCTCTAAGGAACAACGGACAGATACCACAGGAAGAGGACATGATGGGCTCATAGTCAATTATTACCTTAAAAATCACATCCAGTTTGTGCTGTTGGTGTGTTTCTTTTAAAGCTTGCCTTCTGTGCTAGCTCTGGGTGGGGTGGAAGTTACTGAAGGATCCATGACTTGCTTTGATCTTTTAGAATAGTGGCCTCATGCTTTCTCCTGTACCTGCTGTCTTGCCATGTGGTTTGGGTCTAAATGCTTTTATTTGAGTTCTAAAGCTTCATTCTGAGATTGCCAAGATTTTCGTTAATGTAGTTTCAGAGAAAGCTTTCTGCCTGGCTCCCTTGTTTTCTGACCAGAGTTCTCACAGATGTCTTTTTATGTCATCACATGATTCTGTGTTAGTCAACTTTGAAGAACCCTGGTATGTAATCACCCAGACTCCTTGCTGGGCTCAGCCCGTGGGCTCCGTACAGAGCACCCTGTTGTTGAAGTGCTTTATGCATGACAGTGTTGCCGTAACTCACTGCTCTCTGATCCTTTTCACTGCTGTTTCTGTTGCAAGCTGCTTCAGTAAACAGTTAAAACTGAAACCTGCATCTTAGTTCCAGTCTAAGCAGTTTAATTGCTAGCTGTATTTTTTCCATATATACGTGAAACCAAACTAAACCAGAAAACACCTTGAGACTAGAGTGTGGCTCTTGCTCGCAATAGGGTGGGAGCTGATCCGATTTGACCTTACCTTTAAAAAGGCTTTTTGCCGCCAGTCTGGGGCTATTTCCAGGATGGGAAGATGAGCAGAACGGCCGGATTCTGTTAGGGGTTTTGTTTGTTTTTTTGTTTTTTTTTTTTAATTTTTTTTTCAGATTCTGGTTTTTGTGGATCTCCTTAATAAAACAGGCTTGGAAGCATGAGTGACATCCACTTCCAAAAAAAGAGCTTGCCTCTGGAAACTGTGAACTTGGAGAAAAGATGAAAGTTTTGCATTCAAGACTTTCATTCATAGGGTTGCTATCTGTGACTCTATGACACTTAACAACAACAACAACAACGTTCATGAAGTTAATCTGTCTCTATCATTGCCATCAAATAATAAAACAAAATATGGTCTATGAGCTGCCATTAGTTCTCCTGTGGTTCTTTCTCAGTAAGCATCATTTTCTAGGAATATATTTATTTTGTTTCTGTTTAGCACCATCGAGTTGAATACAACTCATAGTGACTTTGTGAACAACAGATGAGCTCTGTTCTCTCCTGTGCCATCCTCATCCTCTTTGACACACTTGAGCCCATTGGTGCATTAACTGTGTCAGTCTGTCTCATTGATGGTTCCTCTCTTTCACTGACCCTCTACCTTTCCAAACATGGTGTCCCGTAGCAGCATGTCCAAGTATGTGAGATGAAGCTTTATCATCCTGGCTTCTAAGAAGCACTCTGATTTCACTTTCTTGAGGACGTACTGTTTGTTCTTTTGGCAGTCCATGGGATACTCAGTACTCCAGCACCATAACTCAAAGGCATCAGTTCTTCTTCTGTCATCTTTGTTCAGCTCTGAAATGCATAGTAAGTGATTTTAAAGTCTGTGGCTTGAATCGGGTATACCTTACTGTTTAGACTGACATGTGTACTCTTCAGGACTTTGGGGAAGTCCCAACAGCAGACTTGCCCAATGCTCTGTATCTCCAGATCTTTCTACAGTTAATTCTCGGGGTGGTGTGTGTGGATCCAAACAAGTTGGACTTGTTGACAATTTCAGCCCCTGATTTCAGTGAATGTGGAAAGTTCTTTTTGCAAAACGGAATCGTGTCTTGCTAAATGATCCTTTGCAAGTGTTATGTTGGGTCATTTTGTTAATCACAAGTTAGCCGTCAAATAAGAAAGGAAGATGAGGGAAATTCAAAATCAGTTTTGTCGTATCAATTGTTCCTTCTCCATAAGGGTCTAGATAGTAAATATTTTTGGCTTTGTGGATCTCTAGTTATCTATCCAGTGTTGTCTTTGTAGCTTAAAAGCACCTATAAACAATATGTAAACAAATGACCATGGCTGTGTTCTTTTAATGAAACTTTATTGCTAGACTGTGGTATTTTATGTAACTGGCATGTTTTAGGAGCATGAATTCTGCCTTTGATGTTTTTTTTTTTCTTTCCCCAGTTTAGAAATGTTAAGACTCATTCTGCATGTTGTGTAAGGACAGAAGAAACTCTTGAGTCAGCCCCTCCCATTTTACAGAAGGCAAGTTGAGGTTCCTGCAGAGTGTAGGGGAGGCAGTGAGGATCTTGGACCAGGTCCCGAGTCAGGGCCTCTTTTATTTTTACTGTACCTTTCTGCCCTCTGCTGTTCCAATTGATAATAACCTTAACTGAAAGATGTGGTGGTGTCTGTATTTTTATGCAAATACCTTCCTTTTTGTGTGCCCCTCCGTGAATCCTTTGCTTGAAAGTATTTTTTTTAACATTTGACAGCTTTATTTGAAATATCACATAACGGTTCTATAAAAACAAATAGTACAAGTAAGACGTGAACAAATACTGCAACATTCAAGTTTGTCCTCATCTTAGTAGTACTTAATGCCAAATGTTACTACTCTATCTTGAATTCTAACTGCAATTGAGGAAATAGAAGGCCACATGCATAACATACATTCAGTACCACAGGAAGTATTTTCATAAGTGTTGCGATGCTTCATTTTGGACATGGTGTTGTG